CCTTCCAGCTCCCTGCCTGTGGCCCAGGAAAGCAGTTGAGGACAGCCCAAAGCTTTGGGACCCTGCACCCGTGTGGGAGACCTGGAAGAGGCTCCTGGCTTTGGATCGGCATAGCATAGATAGCAAGCAGGAGGAGCCCCTGACCGACCATGGGCCATCTTCGGCTAACTTCCCAAGGCCAGCTGCTAAAGGGAAGCAGCTGGGACTCAAACCTGCAACCACATGGAATGTTGGCACTGCAGGTGGCAGCTCAACCTGCTTGCTACATTAGCCTCTCATCGGTGTATTAACTCCTCTCTGTCACTGATATTCCAAATATATGAATAATACCTTAAAGGTAACACAGAGGTAAACTAAGTATTTTAGTAAGAGAGGATAAACAGTGCAGAGCAGAAGCAATATCAGCTATGAAATTTCATCTTTGTTTACAGAATGATAAAGTATGCCAAATCAGCTAACTATCATGTCACAGGTAGTATTATTCCAACAAAACTCTTATATTAACACTGAGATATATGAGCAATGAAATCTTGGTTAGAGAACCAATGTTTTTCACCACCTTAGAATTGATGAATAAGCAACATGTAAACTACAGCAATCTTAAAACTGTTATATGCTTAATTATTCCATAAACACAACAACCCGTAAGAAATTATTGAATTAAATTCTTAGACTTGGTACATATTATCAAACAAGCACAGTGCTGAGGGACTTCCAGGACATCAAATACAGAGTTTTGCATTCATGTAGAACCCACTTCCATAACATTAGAGCACTGAACTTGTTCATTATCTATAAATAACATATATGTTAATTTTATTGTGTATATTACTAAATATACACAAATTAGAACTATAAATAGAAAATCTAACATTTCACTCTCATTCTAGAGATAGTATTGCATTTACTTTGACATATTTGACATCTTGATTCTTTACCCCATTATTTGTCCAGCATAAGAATCAGCCTCAATGGGCGTGGCGCAGTGGCCCAATTGCTAATGTCCTCACCTTGCATCCACCAGGATCCCTTGTGGCTGTCAGTTTGTGACCAAGCTACTTCACTTCCCACCCAGCTCCCTGTTTGTGGCCTGGGAAAGCAGTAGAGGAAGGCCCAAAGACTTGGGATCCTGCACCCATGTGGGAGACCCAGAAGAAGCTCCTGGCTCCTGGCTTTGGAATGGCTCGGCTCCGACTACAGCAGCCACTTGGGGAGTGAACCAATAGCCAGAAGATCTTTCTCTCTGTCTCACTTCCTCTCAGTATATATCTCCCTTTACAATAAAAATAAATAAAATTTTTAAAACATTTTAAAAAGTCAACCTCAACAACTGGAAGACATTTCATCCACTGTCCTTATTACCACAATACCACTATTTAAAAATTAAGAATCATTTCAGTGAGGCCAGCACAGTGGCATAACAAGCTAACCTCCGCCTGCATCACCAACATCTCACATATGCACCAGTTTAATTCAATCCAGCTCCCTGCTCATGGTCTGAGAAAGCAATGGAGGCCAGTCCAAGTCCTGCATCCATGAAGGAGACCTGGAATAAGTTCCTGGCTCCCAGCTTCAGTTTGGCCCAGTCACAAACATTGTAGCCATTTGGAAAACAAACCAGCAGATGGAAGATCTCTGTCTTTCCTTCTCTCTAATTCTGCCTTTACAATAAAAATAAATAAATCTTAAAAAAAAAAAAAAAAAACTAATCATTCAGGGGCCAGCACCCTGGAATAGTATGCTAAGACTCTATCTGCAGCACCAGTATCCCATATATGCACCAGTTCATGTCTTAGCTGCTCCACTTCCAACCTAGCAACCTGCTAATGGCCTGGGATAGCAGAAAAGAACAGCCCAACTCCTTAGGCCCCTGTACCCATGGAAGAAGCTCCTGACTCCTGGCTGTGTTGATCAGCTCAGCTCCAGCCATTACAGCCATTTGGGGCGTGAACAGCCATTTGGGGATGGAAGATATCTGCCTCTCTTCTAAAATCTGCTGTTCAAGTAAAAATAAATAAATCCTTAAAAAAAAACTAAATTCACCTTTCAATGTTTTTGAATATCAATGGTATCTCAAGGATTTAGAACACACTTCAAGACTACACAAGCCACAAACTTAGGTGCAACAGGAGGCAAAAGATGAACAGAGATGCTAAAATTCTGATTCTATCAAGTGCAACAGGTACAGTAACTTAGAAAATACATGCAATCTAAACCTTAGTCAAGCCTTTCCTGTGTTCTGTTTAAGACAGATAGAAGCCAAAAATAAAAGCTATCACTAAAAATTGTTTCAACTGACATACAGTCCAGCTAAATTAGTGTGTAACCCAATTTTCCTAATACCTAGAACTTCTGAATAGTAAATGAGTCACTAACCTGCCCTTTCACTCAAGCAAGCCTGGGAAGCGTTATCTGTTATTACCACAACACTTCACTTTCCAGGTCCCACATCAACTGCCTGCAATTCCATTTTTTGTATGTGGTAATAGATGGCCAACTTTTTTTTTAACACTCTCTAATTATAGCCAGGAATTATTTAGTGCTCAATAATCTTAAAGCAAATATTTTTGTTTTATTAAGTTTTTTTAATTTGTAAAATGATTAATAATACACACTGAACTAATGTATGCTTGTCAAATTCTGTATTTCCTTCTCTCCCATACACTCTACAAAATGTATAGGCATATGAAACTAATGAATGCAGGTTCTATTACCTATTTATTTAAACACTTTGAAACAGTTTTCAAATCTTAACTCCATAAAAAGCTGTATGAACTTGCTAAATCTCTACTGAAACTAACTACACTGAAGTTCAATCTGCTTCAAAAGAGAAAAAAAACCCTGGTTTACATTTAGAAATGCTAATTTTATCAATTCATTCCTCTTTTAACATACTTTTCCATATTAAAACCATAAGATAAATTATTTCTAACAATAGTTAAGATTTCACAGATATTTTGCTATCATAAAATATTTGCTTTAAAATTCAGCGGGCAGACACAGCAAATTGAAAACCATCAGTAAGATCAGTTTAAAATGCACAATTAACCTCACTTATACTTACAAACATACAATCTTAGTTTGATAAGATATTAAACAGGCTAAAGTTGATCAAAGTTTAATTTTAGGATTTTTAAATGCCAGGTACACAACTAGTATTCATAGCCTCAAATTTAGGCGCTTTGAACCTTGCAGCTGTAAATCAGTTTGACTGATGCTCTTTCCCAAACCATGTAAGCCATTGCTTAACTGAGGCCAGACCTGTCAGGCTTGACAGCATCCCGGAAGTGACCTGCCTATTAGGACTGGAAACACATTAAGAATTTGGAAAATTTCTCATCTTAGGGTTGGGAAAAAAAGCGTGAGATCACGCACAGAACAGTCATAAGAAACACATAAGTTTACAACCAATAAAACTACATTACATATCACAGAGTCAGGTAATAATAGTCCACTAAACTTCTCTGGCATCTTCCAATACATGAGCAAAAGTTCAGCCCCGAATTCCCACTCCGAATGTCTGTCTCTGGACCTCATTTGCATTTCCTACCCTTCATGAATGAAAAACACCTTCGGCTTAGCCACGTGCCCCAGCTATAGGCAACTGCCTAGGCTGCTTTTTACCTAAGCAAGTCTAACACTGCTGGGAGAAAAACAGCCAATAGCTGGCGGGTATTGTGGGCCTGGTTAATGCCAAATTTGTGTAAACTACACCAGTGTGCCAGCATAGTTGCCTTTTTTTTTTCCTTAGTTCAGATACGTGCGGAAGGCAGGGGACATCCCCAGCAGGACTCGCCACCCCAGCCCCAAGCAGGTAGGCAGCTACAGATTGCCTGGGGAAAGGGATCTGGGGAGGTGTGGGGAGCGCGAGCGACTAAAGACATGTTTGACAGGGGAGAAATGACTTCTGGGGGACTTCCACGGACTTAGAAACAATAATGCCTAGATTCAATCTGTTTAATGTTTTCACTTCTTACCCAGAAAAATCCATTACAAGTTTTTCCTTTAAATTACATGTACTCACATACTGAAATCTCAGTCATGAAAAATTAAGTCACATTCGGGCCATCAAGCGTGCACGAGCCACACTTGCAGCCAGCGCTTGCCCAGCGCTCAGGGACAGCGGTCTCAGGCAGTGGGAGGGGGCTGGGAACACCACAGCGTGCGGCGGAGCTAGCCCAGCAGCAGGAGCTAGCCCAGCAGCAGGCCGGTGCCTACGGGGAGCTACAATACAGCATCACAAGGCTGGCTTTCCGCACGCCAGTTCATGGGCAGGGACCGGGCTGAGAACCGGCAAGCAAGCGCAAAAAGCTCTGGTCAACGTCGGAGGAGTCGAAACCCAAGACAAGGGGCTTGTGACAGCGCCAGCTGTCCAGCCTCTTCCCACCTCAAACGCAACTGATTTCAAGTATTTTTGGTGTCAGCGGCTCAAAGGATGAGTGATGGCAGCAGTGGATGGTCAAGCACCCCCCGCCCCAAGAGACTGGCAAAGGCCCTCGGAAAAGGCAGCCTCCCCAACAACAAGGGGTTCCTGGTAGCAGAGCAGGGCGCTCTGCGGCCGCCCCCTCTCTCCCTTCCTTGCAGCCAAGGCTGACAGGAACGAGCTTAGGACGTTGTCGGATTTTACGAAGCAAAGAGGGGAAAAAAAATGGCAGTGACAAACGAGCCTGGAGGGCTGGAGCCACCCAAGAAAAGGGAGCGAGGGCTTCCCTGGGCACCTCCAAGGTAATAACGCCACGGGAGAGCACGAACACTGCCCTGCCAGCGCCTGACACCCCTCTCTGGGAAAGCGTCGCCCCTTCCACCCGGTCCCAATTAGCAAACACCACTTCCCAGCCGACCTCGCGTCCCCACTGTACTCCCCGCCACCCCCTTGCTGGCCTCCCTTCCCTTCCGCCTCAAACGCCCCACGCCCTCAGCCTCCCCTTCCCTGGTCACCCACCCTCCGGGCAGCCCGTCGCTGGCCTCCCCCGCTGCTCGCCCAGACCCCTCCCCCTCACCTCTCCTCAGCGCCTCCTCGTAGCTGAGGAATCCGATCCGTGACTCCTTGGCGCCCATGCTCCCCTCATCCCCTCGGCCGGGGGTCGGAGCCTGACCTCGCCCCCACCCCCACTCCCGCCTTCTCGGCGTCCCTGGGTGACGGTGTCGGCGTCGGCGTCCCCCGGCCCCCTCCTCCCACCACACTAACAAGTGCGGCTTCTACCCCGGCGGCTCCTCCCGGCCGCCGCCACCGCCTCCATGCCGGATCACGTGAACCGCTCCCACCCCGCCTCCTACTCCGCCCTTCTCTTTTCTCCTCCTCTCTCTTTCCCTCCTCACGCCCTCTTCCCTCCCCGGCCCCTCCTGCCAGCCCCGCCGAGGGTCACCTGACCCGAGGCCCGGGATTGTTCCGGGTAATGGCCGCCCAGGGCCTCACACTCCGCCCCGCCCCACGCTAAACGCGCACTGGAGCGTCCGGGAGGAGGCCGCCTCGCCGCACGTAACGCATCATCCCCCCTCCCCCGGCCGGTGCCCGCCAATCGCGAGCCCCGAGTCTCCGCCGGCGAGGCAGGGTGGTGACTTCCGGGGCGCTCCAGGGCCGGTCCTCCCGCCCACACGGTCTGGCGCTGACGGGGCGAGGGCGTCCGAGCGGCCGGTTGTGGCCAGGACTCAGACCCATCTTGGGAGACGAGTGGGGTTTTGCAGAGTGGAACCGTGAGGGATGCAACTCCGGACAAAAAAGGAGCGGTCCAGCGGGAGGTTTCTGACATTAGGGAATGTTTTTTTACTAGGCGACAGTTTTGCTAGGAAAGCATCTCAGAGCTTTCCCTTGAAAGTGGATCATGTGATGAAGAATACTTTGCCGTTCCCGTCACCGCTTCCCTCACCCCAGGTGTTCCTGGGCTTGCTTCTTCGGCCGAGGCCCAGGCTCCCTCTCTGGCTTCTTGAACCCTCTTCGGTTTCAGAGGCATCGGTGTAGATCTGGGAAAGTCACACCTTGCAACTTCCCAGAATTACCCTGTTCCAGGAATGTGGTAGTTAAAGGCTCGGGACGGGAGTCATTTGTTGCTCTTTTAATTGTAAAATAAATGTGATAACGTTTGCCATTTTAAGGGAATTCAGTGACATTAAAATGCGTTTACATGGTTGTGCAACCATGATCACCGTCTACCTCTAAAACTTCATCTTGCTTGCTGAAGTCACTAGGACGCTCTTTCTCCCCAGTTCGTGGCACCCAATGGCCTGCTTCCTCCCATTCTTGTTCCTACTGAACTCTTTCATCATGAATGGGACTGTTGCTCCTTTTGTCCTTTTGTGAGCAGCCAATTGGCTGATTTTTTCATTTTTGTTTACTTGCAAGGTAGATGAGCTCCCATCTGCTAGTATATCCCCCATATGCCTGTAAGAGGCTGGGCCAGGCCAAACCTGCAATCTGAATGAGGAGCAGAGATGGGCTTTGCCTGGGACACTGGGATGTGGGATGTAGGCTTGCTAAGCAGCTTCTCAAAGGCTGGGCCAAACGCCACACGGCTGCTAGTCTGTTTACTTAGCAGAATGTCTTGTGGGCTCTTGGTGTTGTGGCATATGTCAGATTTGCCAGATGATCCACTTTGGAATATTCACGTGAAATAGAAAGCAGGAACTTGAAACACTTTTCCTGTGTCGTGATTGGATAAAATTGTTTATACATGTCCAGTGGTTTATTTCTCAGTTCCTTGCTTTTTAACTTGTCTGGTTTGCTTTTGTTATTCTTCATCCTGAAAATCACTGTGGAAAGCTTCTGGATAAGGAAACAACATTAAAAAGTAACCATTTGGATTAGATTAGACTCATCCATGCTGGCTAGGTAATTTAGAACCTGCCAAAGGATTTTACTTCCTAAAGCCAACAAATTCTAATATTCCCAGCCTGAGAAAGAAGGCAATATTCTGTTTTTCTACTCACCTTTCCTGGCCAACCAGATCAGCTTCGTGGTGTTAGTCACAGCCCAGCCTCTCCAGTTCACTGGGAGGCAGTTAATTTTAAGACCTCAGATTAGTTGCTTTACTAAAAGGCCATGAATCAGGGGGTTAGGAATGCATTTTAAAACCTTTAATTTCCAGGCCATTAGTTCAGTGTAGACAGATGTCTTCAGACAAAACAACTCAGTCATTTTCAGCCTGCAGAGTTCAGAGATCATAATTATTGGGAAGTGAATTTTAAGAAAGGCTCAGCTGTGAACGAAAAGAGAATAAATTTATGGCTAAGAGCAGTAGGATAGCTAATCCCATTTGGATCTTAGCTTTCATGCCTTCAAGAGTTCAATTGCAACATACTGGAGGTATTTTACTGTCCTTAAACAATTGGCTGGCAAGGTGACCTACTGTACAAAGGCTGGGCCTACATATTTACCCACTTAATTTTCAGTGGAGTTGGGAGAAAAATGTTTTATCTCTTTGTGGCACTTAACTCATTTGAGAGAGGTATTGTTAGAGTCAGAATGTATCTCATGGGAGAAATTATTGCAAAATACTCTGGGAAGAATATAAACATGGTCATTAATATTTCCCTTTTTTAGAAAGAATTCTTTTCATTTTACTTGAAACAGTTTAGAGAGAGGGAAAGACAGAGATCTGATGGTTCACTCCTCAATTGGCCACAACAGCCAGAGCTGGGCCAGTCTGATGTTCGGAGCCAAGAGCTTCTTTAAGGTTTCTTACATGAATGCAGGGCTCAAGCTCTTGGGCCAGCATCTACTGCTTTTCCCAGGCCGTAAGCAGAGAGCTGGTTCAGAAGTGGAGCACCTGAAACTCAAACCAGCCCAAATAGGATGCTTACACCACAGATGTTGCATTAACCTGATATAGTACTACACCAGCTCTCAATATTTCAAACGATACTAACAGGAACTTTGATTCTCAAACTTCAGGCATAGCTTCCTCTACAGCCATAAAATTTTTTACTCCATTAAAGAGTTTATCATGGATTAAACACTGCTAAAAAATTTTTTCTAAACCATTATTTGTTTTGATTGGAAAGTCAGATCAGGTATACAGAAAGAAAGAGAGGCAAATCTTTCATCCACTGGTTCACTCCCCAAGTGACTACAAAGGCCAGAGCTAAGCCAATCAAAAGCCACGAGTTAGAAGCTGCTTCTTGGTCTCCCACACTGCTGCAGGCACCCAAAGCTTTGGGCCATTGTCTACTGCTTTCCCAGGCCACATGCAGGGAGCTTGATGGGAAGTAGAGCAGCCAGGATATGAACTGGAGCTCATATAGGATCGTGCTTTTGCAAGGTGAGGATTTAGCAATTGAGCCATCACATCAGTCTTTAAACACTGCTGAAAATTCTGAGTTGTGACAGCAAACTAAGGAATACAATGTTTCCTTTTAGTTAAATTAAGTATATTATTGAAGGCAGTGAAACAGATGTGTCTAATGGGAATTTTGAATTTTAAACTAAGATTAAAATCTGCTTTCTCATTTGTATTACAAAGTACTAGACAGCTAAAAGTTAAAAATATAACTAAAAGTTAATACAGTACTTATATTTGATGATGTAAAAAACCTAAAATCTACTTCTCATGCTGAAAAGCTTTCTATTAATTCATGTGTTCAGTTTCACTTAATTCATTGAAAAGTTAGGCAGCTATCACTTTAAGAATTAGGTTACACTTAGGAAACCATTGCTTGAAGTATAATTACATGCATGTGAAAGAGTTGTCCATATGCAAATTTAAAGCATAGGAGATGGATGTATAATTTGTACTTCCAGTTGGGCAACCTAAATGACAGTGTTTCTCAGTTTGCACACCCAGAGAAATGACATTAAGAATAGGATACAGCATTTTAGTACTTGCCAAAAAAGCTTAGCAAAGCTAACGATAAGGAGGTTGATAAATTAAGGGGATGGCATGCAGTTGGTTTAGTTATAATTTGATTGTCACACTATGTCTTATTTTACTGCTTGAAGTATAACCATACAATAAAACCACTAATTTTTCAGCAGTATGGCTTTATTCCTTTATGGTGACAAAGATGCAAATACATGCTCATTGTATTAAAAAAAGAAAGAACGAGCTTCTTTCCTTCAATATCCAAGCTTGTGTAATATATCAGATTACCTCCTTCACCCAATCTTACTCTCCAGAGGTAAGTGTATAATCTAGTTTTCAGTGACTACACCTACCATATTTCCCAAGCACACAAATATACATATATATCCCCCTTTCTTAACATGTATTTTTAGTCTACTTGCTAATCTGTGGTGTATATATTTATGTATATATCTAAGTATGCTTTTCATGTATACCTGTGTTCTTTTTTAACAGATGCACAATATGACAACTGTTTCTAATGTTTATTTAAGCAATTGTCTACTGAACATTATTGCTTTATTACATTATTGCAATAAATATATTAGCTAAATTATATTTTTAATAATTGTAGCAGAGGCTTACACTGCCACCTTGGATATCCTTATCCCATAACATAGTGCTGTGTTGAGTCCCTGCTCCACTTCTGGTCCAGCTTCCTGTTAATGCACTGGGAGCAGCAGATGATGTTCAAGTACTTAGAACCCTGCCACCCAAGTAGCAGACATAGATGAGATTCCAGACTCCTGACTTAGGCCTATCTCAACACTGCGTGCTGCTGGGATTTGGAAAGTGAGTCACAAGATAGAACTCTCTCTTTCTAGTAAATAAAAAACATTTATTACCCTAGAGGCTAGTGCTATGTTGCAGTGAATTAAGCGTCTGCCTGTAGTACTAGCATACCATATGGGTGCACCAGTTCAGCTCCCTGCTAGTGTGCCAGGTAAAGCACAGAAGGATAGCCCACGTACTTGGGCCTCTGCGCCCACCAGGAGTTCCTGCTCCTGGCTCAGTCTGGTCCAGCCCTGGCTGTTACAGCCATTAAGCACAGCCACCAGCCCTGGCAGTTACAGCCATTTGGGGAGAAAATAGGTAGACAGAAGAAGCTCTACCACTGCCTTTAAAATAAATAAATAAAAGTCATCCTGAAATAAAAATCCTTACTTGTATTTGTATCTTTTTTTTTTAAAGAGATTTTATTTTTATTTCAAAGTCAGATATACAGAGAGGAGGAGAGACAGAGAGGAAGATCTTCTGCCCAATGATTCACTCCCCAAGTGACTGCAATGGCCGGTGCAATGACGATCAGAAGCCAGGAACCAGGGCCCGGCGTGGTGGCGAAAGTGGTTAAAGGTCCTCGCCTTGCACGCCCGGGATCCCATATGGGCGCCGGTTCTAATCCCGGCAGCCCCGCTT